CCGGGCCAGGTCTGGCTGCAGCAGTGGCAGCAGGGCACACATCTGCTCCCAGGTGGGGGCTGCCAGGAAGCCAAGTCCAACCACCAAGCTGCCCCCACCCTGCAGCCCTGTGGACTACAGATCCTGGTGTGTCCCAGAGGTGGCTCTGGGATGGGGCAGGCTAGACAGCATCTCTGCACCCGAGGATGGTGGGATCAGCGCATGCACCACAGCCCAGGCTGTCTCATGCGTCCCTTGGCCATGCGGGGCCAAGGGACCCACAACGGGCCAGACAGAATCCCTTGGTGGTCCAGATTAGGCCTGTGGGCCATATTTTGCCCTTCTCTGGTCTATGGGCTGCCCCATCCAGCCAAAGTTCCCACTGATGTCAAGGGTGTAGGTTGTAGCCGTGTTGGTCTAAGGACATAAGCAGACAAGATTCTTTGGGCAAATCCCATATCTTTTATTAGACCAACTCCAATAGTTGGAAAAATTCTTCTTTGCAAGCTTTTGGGTACAAACACCTTTTGTCAGGCTGAGGAAAGGTGTTTGTACCCAAAAGCTTGCAAAGAAGAATTTTTCCAACTTTCTGAGTTGGTCTAATAGAAGGTATCAGTTTTACCCAAAGAACCTTGTCTGCCACTGATGTCAAGAGAAGTTTTTCAAACTATAGACCAAGGAAGGCCCTCTGACACAGGAGGTTTTGCCAAAGGGAGGAAGACGTAAATGTCTGTCTTGATGTGTTCCTGCACAACTGCAGATGGGCATCCTTGTCCTGCATTGGCGATGTGTAGGGGGTGCACATGGCTGCGGTGCAAAAAGGGAGACAGTGTCGGCGGCGCCTGCAGGTGGTCGCCGCTCGCCACCTCCACCACCGACGCTGCCAGCAGCATCTGCGGGCGGTCCCCAATTGCCACTAGCTGCTGCTGACACTGCCAGCAGTGTCTGTGGGTGGTTGCTGACCACTGGTCAGCCCTTGCCACACACCCCGCCCCCCGCTGCTGACAGCGCTGCGGCCACCTGCAGGGGCTCCCTGCTTGCTGCCACAACACTCCTGCCACGGCCGCCTGCAGGAGCATGCGGTGTTCATGCTCTCCTGATAGGAAAGGCCCTAACTCCAAATGCCTCACATCTTGTTGCATCAAATGTGATTGCTAACAGAACAGTACAGGACACACGTGATACAGCCTTACAGGGAGAGGGAATAGCCTTGTCAGGCAGGCTTTCCCAGCCTGCTTTCTTTTCTCCCTCTCCCTGCTCCCCCTTCTGCCCAGGAGCTGGGCTTTGTCTCGCTCGGTCCCTTCCCCTCAGCCATGTCCCTGGCCCTATCCCCCTTCACACGCTCCCCAGAGCCCTGCTGTCCTCCTGCAAGGAGAAGCCCCTCTGCTGCTCCCTCGCTGACCCCTTTCCCCTCCAACTGCCAATCCCAACTGCCACAGAATGTTCCAGCCCCAACGTTCCGCCGAGGCGGGCCCCTTGCTCCAGGGGGCATGAGGCAGCACCCGCCATTGCCCACACGCGCAGCCAGAGGGAGGCAGGGAGCCTCGTGCCTCCGCGTAATCCCGTCACCAACTACGTGATAAGAGCAGCAGCTCTAGAGGAGCCCCATTAAAGCCAGTGTTGCGCACAAACCCATGTGGACGGACACTAACCACCTCGTGACAAACCCATTAGCCCTCCCAGTCTCTAAACCCAATGATTCTCAACCCCGGTGCTGGGGCACCCCCAGGTGCCATAAGGTCCTTTGAGAGGGGTCATAGGAAATGTGAAGAGATAAGCAAAAAAGGGAAGGCTTAAGGTCAAGGTGACAAGCAGAAGGGCTCAAATTAGGGGAGGACAGTACCATAGAAAGGGGGGGCAAGCCCTGGGTGCCAAAGTGAAGGGGCACCAACTAGGGTGGCCATCATAGAGGACAGTCTGGTTGTCCTCTACTGATACAAAATTGGACGTCTGTATGTCCTCTATTTTTCTCTTGAAGGTAAATAGAAGACATAAATGTGCATAATGGGGCAAAAGGGGGGTGGGGGAGGGGGCAGATTGAGGCAGAGGGCGAAAAAATTATTTGGGGGCATGCCTCCCCAGCAGGTAAGTACCACCCGGCTGGGGTCCCACTCAATTAACCCCAGCTCCTGCCTCTGTGGCACGGTCCCTCACCGCGGGGGCCTCAATCTACCCCTTCCCATTCCCTCCCCCACCCACATACCTGCTGGGCTGGGGCGTACACGTGCACGTGCATGCACGTGGGTATTCAGCCCCTGACCCCAGCACCTCGGATCAACTCCAAGAGGCTCCAAGATCTACTGCAAGAGGCTTTGAGATCTACGGGTGAATCGAGATCCACTGGTTGGTGACCACTGCTCTAACTAGACAAAGGAAGGGTTAATATCTCCAGTGATCACAGAGAAACCTGAGGCACTGACAGATCCAGGACTGGATCCAGACTGGTAAAAAGGGTACCTACACAGGAATTAGATGGAACTTAAGTACCTGTGTTGCAAAACAGCGGCCTATAACCCCACAACGGCCTATAACTCCCACTTCCCTGGTGAATAGCTACTGGGCTATGATGTAAATGATCATCATCCCCCACCACCTGGCTTTGGATCCTGAGTAGACAGTGATGCTGAGGCTCTGGAAAGCAACAAGGAGTTCAGACAAACCTGTGCATAGCATTTTCTAGTGCCAGGCTCCAAATGACTCTGCTCAGTTTCCAAGCAGTTTGAAGAATCCTAACTGTCCTCATGAGAGCCTGACACTTAACCTTGTTTCTTTGAAACCAGGTGCCTAATTTTTAAGTATACCAAAGTCCAAGGTGTAGGCACCAAGGAGCGAACTGTGGATTTTGCATCAAATGATTTGCTCCAGGTCAGAGAAGGTATCCATGGAAAAAACAGAAATTGCATCCACCTGCCCAGTATGAAGCAGCCAAAGAACCCTAGCCATAGGATGACCCCCTCAACTCCTACTGATTTCATTTGGGGTTGTGGGTACTTAGACCCTCTGAAACTCAGACCCAGAAACATCGCCAAGTTGGGCCTGCCAATAAGCAACCAGGCCCAATGTTTAAATGCAGGAAAGAATGCAGAGAGGGAGAAACAACTGCCTCACCAGGTTGCCCGCCAGTACCCCACACTGCAGCCACCCTCGATATGACTGATTACAAGGATGTAAGCCAGGCTAAGACGGTAGTGGTGAAAGCGTACCATCTTTCCCAGTTCTTCTGTGGATCTAGCAAATGGAGCAGCAGCAGCTCAAGTTTACTCCAAGTTTACCCTGTCTGTATCAAGGGTTCAGGCATTAATCCTTTATGCACAAGACGGAAATATAAAGCATGCTCACTTATGACATATCTGTCACATGACCAACACTGAATCACCCATATCTGCACATGCATATGTGTGGTACATAGATGTATGTGTGCAGGCACAACAACACCTCCCAAATTTGTGCTTTAGGAGACACTGTTCCTTCCTGAGGGCACCATCCAGTGCCTAGAGAAGTCGACAGCTGTCTCTGTTAATTTCAATGGGCGTCAGAGCAGGGACTTAACTCCTGGCCATGCCAAAAATTGTTGAGCCACGAGGAACTCAGAACTCCCCCATGCTCTCCCTGACCAGCCTGCTTTGATCCAGCCCCTTCCAGCTCTCTCCTTATCCCATGTGCTCTGTGGCTGCCTCTCTAAGCAAGCTATTTTGGTACCAACTCCTCGGTCCTTTATATATCGTTGTCATGAGTAACACTCCTTCTGAATGACTCTTGCTCCAGATGGTTGTAAAGGTAACAGAGATTTTTTTTTTCAGTGCTATGCACAGCCGTATCTTTCTTCTCTGAGATTAAATCAACAGCCAGCATACGTTTCTATTCCACACCCATCTGCTCCGTTCACGCGAGTTTGGCAGCTCCTGCTCCATGCTACGGACGGCCATGAAGCAGTGATCCGTCACCAACAGCATCATCATTAGCCATAGCAGAATGCGCAGGTGTACACACAAACATGCACACAGGCAGTTGGGCTTCACGCCCCCATACATGCTGGCAGATCCCCCACTATAAGCTAATGCAAGCAAACAGAATGAGATTCATCTTGGGAAAGCAGTTAATCCATCTGGAGAAATATAATCTTATGGACAGCACTCAGTTGGAAGGAAAGATGCCAGGAGCAGTAAATCCAAGACAGAGATTGCTTTGTAGTCCTATGAAACAGCATTTCAGAATGGGCAGCAAAAATAAAAAGTTGGTGTAATTTCGAACCATGTAGGCAAAGGAAGAGCATTGGACTGGGATTAGGGAGATCTGGGTTGTACTCACAGCTTTGCCACTCCTGCATGGCCTTGGGCATGTCACTTCACCTCTCTGTGCACTAGTTTCTTCATCTATATCATTTTGCTGACATTCCACCCAAAACTTTGTAGGTTCAGGGGTCTACATTCTCAGAGAGGCATTAACACAGGAGATAAGAGAAGCATAACATCAGAAATACAAGTGTGCTGGAAAGACTGATTTATGAAGAGAGAGGAAAGGAGTAAAGGTCATATAGTCAGCTGAGTGATGTCAAAAGTGAGGGATGGGATAGCAGGCTGGCAGTCCGCAAAGGGCATGAATCTAGAGAAAGAGGGACTGCAGAAATCTGGGTACCTGGGGTGTGAAAACTAAGCTATATTGGTCCCAGGAGGAGAACACAACATTGGTTGTGTATATCCAGGCTCCTCCTGGAGATAACACCACTCACACTTTTCCTTATTATCCAAGTGTTATGGGTGAGGCTGCAAGGCTACCATGACCAGTGAAATTGCAATGTAGCAAAATTGGTGGGTAAAATAACACACCCCAGCCAGCCTCCCCACTCCAGGGAAAGTGAGAGATCAGGTGTCCACAGGCTGAAAGAGTGAGCTGCAGCCAGGTAGTGTTAGGTGCAACATGAGGCCTATTCAGCGAGTGCTTGTTCTCAAAGCCACTGTAGCCCTTGTGCCAGCTCATGAAACATTCACAAGGAAAGGAAAGTCTTCCTTCAGAGAGAAACATGAGAGCTGGAAAAAGAGTGCAGACATATCATAGCAAGCATCAGGTGAGGGGAGAAAATTGAGCCTGAGGACAGGTAGAGAGGAGGTGTATTAAATTCATAGGAGGTGAGCGGTCAATAGGACACTGAGCAGCGAAAGAGAGGCCTTCATCCTATGTCACACTGCTGTGTTCTTGTTTCATGCTGCACTGGGGATGTGGAGACCCTACAATGTATATGTGTGCACATACCACACATCATGCATGGAGTGTGGAAATCCTAGAGCGTATGAGTGTGTGCAAACAACACACCACACCTGTAATATGTGTGCCTCACACTGTGCTGGCTGCCTGGCTATCCCACTGTGCATGTACCTCATACTGTGCTGGTGCATGGATATCCTGCTGGGATGTGCTTTACACCCTGATGGTGGAAGGACACCCTGCTGCATGTGTGTCTTACACGCAGCAGGAGGTGTAGGAGAACAGGCCACCCTCCTGTGTGCATTCATTTTCTGCAGGTAATGCGTGCATGAATCTAGGTTAGGCTGAGAATGTGAGGATCTAGCTACCGCATGTTAGAGCTGGGGAGGAGATCAATCACTTGATCAAAAGAGAGCATGGAAATGCAGTGTGTATGCAGCTGTGCAATAGAACAGAACCAGGCAGAAACACAGGGCTGTCTTATACTGTCTATTAACCTCTTCTACGCCACTGCCTCCTCCCTTTGCTGTTACCCAACCCCCAGGAGAAGGCAGTTTTGCAGCTCAGTCAAGCAGGGTTCCTTTTATAGTAGAAGGATCAGCTTGTCCATCGGACTCAAAAGGCACGGGGTGTTATTACTGCACAGGGGCACCTGAGTCAGGTAGCATCAGTCCTACAGCTGCAAACACTGGCATGGAGCTCAAGCTGTGAACAAGAAAGGGAGGGGGTCTGAGCTGGAAGCAATTCAGCTGGAGCCAAAGCAGTGGCCTGGATTTACCCCAAGGATCAGAGAGGAATGCTCTTAGTGAATGCTGAGGCATTACACCACGAATGGCTCTAGGTGCAGAATCTCCTCCCCAGCTCTCAGACCTCGGCCTCCTCTGCTGGCTCTCAGGTAACCACTAGTAACTCTGCTATGTTTCAGATGTAAAATCTGGGTCCTCCAGGAAATGGGAGCATGGAGGCATGGGGGTTGGGGAAGATGAATTTCATGCAGTTAGAGGGGGAGCCAGGCTGCCCTACTGACCCATCGGAAGAAGAGCAAGCCCTAATGGGTCACCAACACTGAGCCAACAAAGGGGAAGTGACAAAAGGGGTGGCAGTGCAGGGCTGCCCCTGTCTGTCCATCTAGGCCTGCAGTGTTGAGAGGAGCCACTGGGCTTCTCTGCTCCATTATTTCTCTTGGTGCCCTTGGAAAAATAAAGCCAATTGGGAATCTCTTGCCTCAGTGGGGGAATCCCAGCCCCAGAGCTCCTTGCTTCCACAGGGGACCCTGGCCCCTGAGTCTCCACTCCCAGTGGGGAGTCCTCCCCACCAAGTCCCCTGCCTCAGAGGGGAATCCCAGCCCTCTGGCACCAATCTGCAAGGAAGCAAAGATTAAGTGAAACAAAAATCAATGAAGCCAGGCAAAGACAAGTTCCCAGAGTGGAATGGAGAGGACAAAATAGCCCTAAGGAATCCACAATGCCCCTCTTAAAGACCAGGGGAGGTCGGAGTGGGGAATGGCAGCCTTTGCTACAACCATTTTGCTTCCCACTGATCATTAGGGTCCAGGATTGAGGGGAAAGCTGTAGGCTCTGCCTCTGAATTAAGTCCTTGATAAGGAAGGGTCCCTGGACAATTTTCCTCCCAATGGCAGTGCCTGACCCAGGCCCCACATGGGCCCCAGGGCTGAGAGCTCACAGGTCCTTGCTAAGCACCCCATTCCTCCTCATTCCCACACTGCTACATGTCTCTTACCTACTCGGGTACCACAGTTTGGTGAAGAGCTGAGAAACGATGGTCATGAGGGCTATCACGATAAAATGGGTCCACTGTTGTGATTACCCTGGGCATAGAAATGGGAATTGTCACAAAAAGGAGAAGAGGGCAAAGAGGCAGCATGAGGGAGAAGCACCCAGCTAGGGAATGGTACCTGCCAACGTGGGGATGGACCCGTCTCAGGGTCTCCGTGGCATTGGGGTCACTGCCCAGGTCAGTGACGTGGTTGTTAGTGGTGAAGCCACCTGGCTGCTGGGGCTGGATCCCTCCCCAGGTCCATCCTTCTCTGTCTACTCCCTTCAGCATCTTCTCGTAAAACCTGCCCGAGATCAAAGAGCAGCAATGAATGTCCCATTCTGCTGGGTCTGTTTCCTCCTTGAAAACCACCCCCTTACACACACAAACACTGCAGAGCTGTGTGGGCAGCTCCCCTACCCCAGAGTATAGAAAAGAGACATATCACCACCTCCCACCAAAACAAGAGACATGCAAAGTCAGGTGCATGAAGGGAAAGGAAGCCTCCCAGGAGCAGAAGAGCCCAGGGAAGAGCTTCCCTAAAGAGAACAGCTGAACAGAAAGAGCCAGAGGAGCTGACCTCAGAGGGAGTGGGAGGAAGCCAGAGACAGTTCTTTTGGAGTGAGGCAATGATGGAGGGGGGTCAGAGAACAGCACCCTTCAGAGACAGGAGTGGAACCAGGGGAGAGCTCTCCCCTGGAAGTGTGTGTGGAGGAGGTAAGGGCTCCCCATGAAGGCACAGCATAAGGGAAGGTGAGGAAAGGTCTCCCAGAGCCAGACAGTAGAGGGGAGACAGGTGTAGAGGTCTCCCTTGGGGAGAGCAGTGTCAGTGCTTCACACTCACATGGAGTTGTAGCTGGTCAGGTACTGGTTGGGCATGTCCGGGTCATAAGGAGGTGTCACATACTTGCCATTGTTGATACTGAACCCCGAAAGCTCCTGTGAGGGAAGGTGACACAGCTGGGTTAAGCAGGGCAGAGCTGGCCAGGCCTGAGGGGCCAGGGGTGACTGCAAGGGGCTCAAGCCACATCTGCACTCACACAGTTACTCACCTTTTTTCCCACGTACTCCCGGCCCAGCAACTTGGTCTGGGTCTGCAGAGGCCTCTGGAGCCCCTGGAAATGGGAATGGCTCAGGGGACCAGAGTCCTCCACCCTTAGAGAGGGCACTGTCCCCTTTGGGTCCTAGAGGGTATGAGAGGATCAGGTGAGTGAGACACAATCACAGGTTGGAGTGGAGGCATGGGGAGGGGTTGCAGGTAGGATGGAGGGACCAAGTAGGGAATCACTCACTGTGGCACCCCGGCTGAACCCTGTCTCCCGCTTGGAGCCTTTTGCTAGCACAGGTAGGAATTCATCACCCTGGCAGGAATGAGACAAAGCAAAGGCAAGGCCAGCTGTGCAGTGTCCAGCAGGCAGAAGACACCAGCCCCCCTACCTTCCCCCCTGCCCCACCACCACCATTCTCCAGGCTGTGGGGGGGGTCACAGCCAGGCATAGCACTGCAGAGTACATCTAAACCCACAGCACTGGGGTTCAGCCACCCCTCCAGGGCTCCAGGCTCCTCCAATAACAGTGCTGGGGGCCTGACCCAGAGAAGACCCTGACACAATACCCTCTGTGCCTGGGCAACACCCTCCCACACACACTATTCAGCATGCCTTCCATTCCCAAAAGTGTCTATGGGAACCGGATCAGGCTCTCCATTGACACACCCATCTATGAGTCACTCACTCCTCTGCATTTCAGTGAGCCTCCACTGTGCCTTCCACTACTCCTTATGACTGAATGACACAACTCACATCTCCCTCCTTCCATCACATCCTTGCCTGTGTGTGTGACCCCCTGCAACACTTTTCCCCCTTGGTGTCTGGGGGACACTTGTAGCCCTCTTCCTAATACTTGCCATCAAATTTCCCCTTCTCCTCCCTTCACACTTCCCATCTTGATGATCTTCCGAGGTCCCTTCCAGCCCTAATGCCTATGAAATCTCCCCCACTCACAGCCTCCTGCCTCTGGCCCTGACCTTCTTACGTGGGGGATTGTAGAGGGTAAGAAGTCTGTCTTGGTGATGCTGATGCCAGGCTGACTCCTCTGTAACAAAGATACCAGGCAGTGAGACATCTTCCCTGAGCACGATTGAGCCTGAGGTTCCCTAAGAAGGATGACCCAGGCCCAGGCAGTTTGTTCCCATGGGACCTGAAAGACAATCCTTTGTGACTTTGAAGACTCTGCCAGTGTATAAAGCAGACATGGGGGCCCAGGCTATGAGGAAGGAGACCTCCCCATATAGAGGAAGCGGTGAGAGTTGTGTGGTGACTGCATGTAAGAGGCAAGACCCCAACTGGCTGCTGCTTTGGCAGAGGTTCAGTGGTAATCCTGACTGGGCACAGCAGCCCCAAGCCTTACTACAGCTCCCCCTCAGGGAGGGGGAGAATAAGATGGCAGATGGGAGGTTGCACCAGTCAGACTTCTGGAAAGCCCAAAGGCTGGATGGCTGCCCCATCCAACTCCTGGGCAAGTTTTAGCTTCATGGCTGGATTGTACTAGGACACAAAGAGGGTGCTGTACTCCACTCAGCCCAGCACAGAGGAGGCCATGGGGGAGCTTGCTTTTGTGGCAAGAACCAGGGCCACGAGCACTCACCAGTGGCTGTGGTACAGTGAGGTTCCGGTGGACCTCCTCAGTGAATCCTGTCTCCTCCTTGACTCCAATGGTCTTCCTTTGTAGGAAATCTGTAATGAGAGGTGGGCATGGGAAGAATGGAGGGGACAGGAGAAACATTTGGTTGCTTATATTTCTATAGTGCAGACTGACACCAACAACGTTGAACAACAGGCAATACATCTAGGCCTCCTAAATTCATGCATCTCAGGAATTAAACTGACAACTAAAATCCTGATACTAAAACTATGCAGCTTTATGGCTGCAGCTAAAAGACTATTTCTGCTGTCTGGGACTGCAGCCAACTCCCAAATCTCCATACAGTCCCATCACGATAAGGAGGCACAGACACACACAAGTGTAAACATGAGGTCCCTGTCACACAACCCTTTTACTCTGATAATTTAATCAGCCTTTACAGAAATGTAAAAAAGTATCGGATGCACATTACACAGCCCTACACCAGAGTAATTTACTCAAGTCCAATGTAGAGTTACCCCGCAAAAGGGAAAAATTAGACTGATATAATTTACACCAGTATGTTCTGTTAGTCTATAGCAGTGATTCGGAACCAAGGCGCCATAGCCTTGAGATCCTTTCAAGGTTTCCGCAGGGTGCCGCACAGTGTCAGCACTGTTAGGTGCACAAATATGATTCACAAGATAAACCCAGAGATGTCAAATAGGAAGCCATAGTGTCATAAACATTCTGCCCTGTTGTAGGCTTTCTGAGTTCTTTGCAACAGAAGAACTGCCCTAGTATTTTCCTGCAGTCAAAAAATCAGTGAAGAGTAAGAAGAGATGGCATTTTCCAAGGGGTGCCTCAAGCCTAATGAGTGCCTTGAGTCTAAAAAGGTTGAGAACCACTAGTTTATAGCTTACTCTAGAGTAACCTTTGCCCACCACAAAGTGGCCATTATCTGTTCTTTTGCTACCTGCTGGCAGCTGCCTACTGCATGCTGCTGCCCTGGAACAACTGTGCATTTGTCCAATCAGGATCCCAGGGAAATTTACATCTGTGCATAAAAACAGTGCAAATGACACTGGACACTGGTGTAAATATGTCATCTGTCCACACCTTGAGTGACACGGGCATCATAGGTACATGTACACTATATGACTGCAGCATATATTGCCATCTCAGTGCTGACCCTAACCTCGTTAGGTAGGGTACCAGAAGCAGGGAAGAGATGGAGGTGGGGACCTTAGCGCACACTACAACTGTGCTAATGGCTGAACAAAAAAGGTAGAGTACACAGGAGCTGGGAACATCAGAGAAAAAAACAATCATTACAAGGAACAACACACACAGATAAACCGAGCCTGATGGCCTTGAAAAGAATACATGCAGGGGGGTGGAGGGGGTTGGAAGCTCTCAAGATGGCCCGTGGGTAGCTAAGATCACAGATAATGCTGAGCACTCCTCTACTGCTTCAAGGAGCAGCAGCACATGATGCTGCCTGGTGACAATGCAGATAATGAAGACAGCTGCAGGTGGAACCCAGGCCCTGATGTTCCCTGCCGCTGCTCTCAGGGTCGGTTCTACGTGGGACTGAAAGGGACTGCAAGGACCAAAGCCTATGTCAGCACAGAGTGGGGAACTGGTTGGGGCTCTCTGTACCTGAGATACTGCTTAGTGACAATTCAGAGGGAAGTCCAGAATCCCCCTGCAAGCCCAGGTTAGGGAGACATAGAGGCAAATACTTATCACCATTCCCAGGCACTTCTAGCCAATAGGAAGTTCAACTGGAGGTCACTCTCTGACAGGAGTTCCAGTAGCACCCCTGCCCCATTTCCTGAATATACCCAGTAGGGAGTTTAACCACCCCTTAAAGCTAGAAGGCCAGGATTCTGTGCTCACAGAAGGCAAAGGTGGGCTGCAGCCGAAGGATAACAAGTCATCTGACAATTCACACTGAGCTTTCCAGCCAAACAGATCATAGGGATTCCCAGACATACTAAAAATCACTTTCCCCATTACTGAAATGTAGCCACCTCTGGGGCAGCTGTTTAGCAGCTTGTAGCAACATTAGGATGGGACGTGCAGAGGAAGAGTGTAGTCAACTGAAATAGAGGGAATTTAGGAAGGAAGAAGGTAAACAACTGAACAGGAATTTGATCAGGATAGTTTCAAAGTGCCAGAGGGTCTGCAAAAACCACAAGCAACCAGGGTCTTGGTTTAGTGACTAAGCTAAAAAGCAACTCCATCCTTCAGCAGCACAGTGCCTATAGCACCCAGGTGGGGGGTTGTTTCTTTACCAAGTGCCTCTACTGAGCCCTCACTCCCCACCTGTAGGATCCAAGTCTTTTATTCACGCCCCGGCCAGGCCTGGTGCCACTCAGCACACAAGACGGAAAAAGGAAAAGGTAGTATGGATACAGATAGAATGCTGAGGAGTACATGTGTGGACTCCTGTGGGGTGATGTTCAGGAGGTGCAAAGGGAAAGACAGTACCTGACTGCCTGGGCATCTCAAAGCGGAACTTGGAGTTATACTCTGTGGACATGTAGTGAGGTCCCTGCAAAGAGCAGCAGAGAGTGAGCAAACCCCAATATGAGTGCACCCAGATAGGAGACTGTTTCCTACTGCTTGGAGGCTAGAGACTTCAGGCTGGGGAGTCAGGAGACAGATAAAGTTCAGCCAGGTCAGGTTCTTCCCCTGGCCTTTTCCAGGCCCCAGGTCAGGAGTGAGGAGCAGGAATAGGATAAACACCCGCTCTGACACCTAATGCAATAAGTCCTGAGCCCATGCTCCCAGACTCAGGGTCCTTGTCTGCTTGGCAATGAGAGGGCACATGGCCTCACCTTTTGGCATTCCGCATGTGACACTGTCCCTCAGAGCATGCCCCTTACTGGGGCTCTGGTTTCTCCTCAGGTGTCCCATGCTCCAGTTGCTCATGTTGCCACATTGTGCCCTGGACCAGATGTGATCTCACTGGGTTTCTTGCATTCAGTGCTAGCCAGGGACTCACTCGGAGCCAACCCCTTCATGCCACTGCCACGATGGGCCAGGGCACAATGGTACTTGCTGGTACTTGCCTGTAGCATTTCTGCATCCCCTGGGCAGCAGTAGGAGCCAGACACAATCCTTCTCCTCCTCCACTCCAGCACTCATGTGCCTGGGCTGTGCTGCAGTGCCCAGGATGAATCTGAAATGACTCCCCTCCCCACCCCCTTCCATCCCCCATTGCCCTTGGTGTCCAACAGAGCCCCACTCACATGTCTGGCATTCTCTCTGTCGACTGAGCCTTTCCCCTGCAGCATGTGGAGGATGGGGGCATGTCTGGGCTCCAGCCCTGCTATGCCTTGTGGCCCGCCCTCTTCTCGCGTATCAAAGTGGACTTTCTTCACCTGCAGAATGAGCCCATCTGCTTGTTCCTGGGGTGACACACAGCCAGGTCCCCCAGCAGCAGAGACAGGTGAGGCTGCACAGGCCCCACTGTGCTCCTCACTCCTCAAGGGGAAAGCAAACAAATAGAGAGGCAAGGGCAAGGGCAGTGCTTATGGAAGAAATGGCTTGTATTGGCCTTTGATTTAGAAGGCAGCAGGCACCATTCCATCCCCTGCCCCCTTGGTTTTCTCTTTCATCAGTATGACTTCTAGGAGTATATTCCCATAGTGCTTTGCAGTGAGCTGGATTGCTCTATGGTCCTTTTCCCAGGTCATTATAGGAAAAACTTGCTGGCCCTTTGGAAAGCAGAGGGGAATTGTGGGAAGGTGTGGAGAACTATCAGCATACAAGTATCTTGGTCTGTCTTCTCCCTGCAAAGCATATGGATTACCAATACAAATACAAGCCTCACTCAGGTTTCAGACAGATCAGCTTGCCTGAGTTGCAAACAACACAGACCTGAGGTCAAGAGGTTCTATGTGTGGATGTGGGGTGGGGATTGGGCCCAAAATCAAGTAAGAGGTCCAGCCAACTCTATAGCAACAATGTACCCCAAACTGCTCCATGCTTTGGTTTCCCTATCTGTACAAGAGGGACAATGGCATGGACAATTGCAGCAGTGCTAGGAGGATAAATACAATTAAGAGTGTGAGGGGCTGTGGGAATATCAGATGCTGTGGGAATGGGGAACATATAAACACCGAGAATAGATCATGTATATAGAGCACCTAACATCATCCAGTCCAGCCTGGCTGGGGACTGCCAATGCTGCTGCAAGGCTAAATAAAATAATGAGGAGTAATTAGCTCCTTTAGCCATCTCATTGCCACTTCATTAGAGCATAGCAGAAAGCATTAGAGCATATGATTAATTGCACTGAGCACCCAGAAGCAACCATCATGGAGCAGGACCCAAATAGCACCAGGAGCTGTACAAGCAGAGGACAAAAAGCCAGTAAGTCTGAGACACACAGCAGGGGAAGCACAGGAGGAAAGTTCTACTTCCCTTGTGGCACAGAGCTAATAAATCAAAAGGGTTACACTGTGTGCAGCTATTAAAGGGTTAAAGCCTACATAGTCCTTTTAACCTCTGCAGCCCCAAGATAAACTTTATGTAATAAAGCACCCACACTTGCCTGGAAAAATGTCATCTCTGCAGCCCCAAATCCATGGAGCAACTACAGATTCAAGTTCAACTCTGTGCAGAGGAGAAAGTTCAGTTGCATTCATGGGACACTTACTGCTTTGACAGTGGGACAGGAAATGGGCTTCTCCCGAACAAACCCACTCCCTGCCTGGTGGACGCTCCAAGGCAGTGGGCACTTGCCGTCAGGCACCTGGAGGGGACGGAAGTGCTGGGTGGTCACTGACTCATAGTTATCCCGCAGGAGAAGCCTGGAGCAGGAGGCAGAGCACAAACACACAATGTCCTGAGCTATGGCCCACACTCTGGCTGCAGTCCTATCTCTAGCCAGACAAGCCCATCTCAGAGTGCAGGGCGCTGGCCCTAGGATACACCTAGGTTATGTCTGGATGAGATGACTGTCCCCATGGGAGATACAGGCCATGGGAAAGTGTCCATACAGGTCTGAGCCCTGCCCTGCCCCACTCCCTTCCTCAGTGTACAGGAAAGCTACCTACCCCATGGCTGGGTTATCCACTCTGTCCAGGCTGGACTTGTAGTAGACAACAGGCAGGTAATTGGATTTGTACCCAGTTCCCGAATGGCATCCGACACGAGGATGGAACTTCTCCTGACCTGCTCATCACAGGGGGGAAAGGCAGACATTACTTACCTAAGAAAGAAGTATCTACAGAGAGTGAGGGGGAACTTGCCTATGCCTGGAGAGGCCTCCTGTGCTCCTTATGCCCTGGAAAGGATTCATTTTGTCAGGACAATTTCCAGCCTCCCATTGGTGATGGCCCCTGGGTAGCTGTTTTCACCAGGCACTGAACCCAAGTGCCCTGGATCTGAAGGTTGGAGCAGACTATCAGACTCCTACTCTGGGTCCCAGAGGCAAAAGAAGAACAGACAGCACTCATGCCAAAGGGCTGTGCCAGTTGCGAGGGCAGGGGTAGGACCAAGCCAATGGATGCTATGAAGGTGATTCAGGGCTTACTGGGCCACTGCAGGAGGCAGAGGGACTTAGCTGAGGAAATGGCCCTGCTCCTGGTCCCTAAGGTGTCTTGTGGGAGTGAAGTGCCATTAGGTTGCTCTCTGGACACCTATATGAAGGACCCTCCCCCACTAGGTTTGGCCCTGTGGCCTCCGACAGTGGATGGATGGCTCCTCTAGGGAGTCCTGGAAATTCAAGGGAGGACATTCACATTACACACCAGGGTACCAGCATGGGTTTATTCCCTATCTGTCACAGCCACATGTCATGGAGAGCATGATTCCCCTGGGGCCCTTACCGTAAGCTGTGCCATAGCTGGTGGCATAGAATTTCATTGGGTCCATGCTCCCTCCAGAGCTCATCTTCACATAGGGGGAGACACTGCCCAGGGGTAGGCGCCCCATGTTGTGGGGAGGGATGGGTCTCTGGTGTGCAGGCTGCAGTGACAGAGACAGAGGACAATGTGCAGCTGAGCATAGGCACTAGCAAACAGGCTTTGCCTAGGGAAAGCTGTGCTTGGGTCAGCCCAGCTGCTCGTCTAGCATTTCCCTGGCAACAGAGCATGAGGTCATACCTCTGGCATTGTGATGTCAGAGCAGGGGCAGGGAGAAAGCCCTGCTCTGAGCCCTGGAAGGTCAGCAAGCACAGGAACTGGCCCCAGACACATACCAGGGCATGCAGACCCACAGGACCCCAGGGAAGCCAACCTTTCCAAAGGTCAGGAGGTCCCAGATTCACAAAAGCACATGCCATAGCTCTAATTCTGCCAGGGTGGCTCTCCAGGAACTGCTGGGGTTCAGAAGTTATGGGGAACCCCTGAGAGCCCAATGGCTAAAATGCCACATGGAACACTGATAAGTGGCCCTGCCTAGGCACTTCCCCCTGGACCTCTGCCTCTCTCCCCTAAGCTTCCTCTGCTCCAGCTCCCAGTCTGACCTGCAGTCACAGCCATCCTAGATCCCTTACCTCCTCCAGGCAAGCCTCCCTGAGGTTCTACCCCACCCCCACCACCTAAAGGCTCCCTGTGGCCCCCATCATAGACCTCCCTGAACCTGTTGCCCTTGAGAAAAGGGTTCCCACAGCAGACCCCTCACTCCCCACCACCTGCCCTTCCCAGGACCGGAGAATTTACTCCCTTGCAGGATGGATGTCAGCTGGCAGCTTTTCCTCTGTATGGAAAGGCTGCTCCAGCCTAGAAGAGTTCTGGGTATCTGCAAACAGCCTTCCTGTGGGGCAAAAAGGCCTTCTTCCCTTCTATCTTGACTAGGAGATTTCTGGCCCAGCACGGTACAGATGTGCAGGGGGAGGGAGGGAGAAGGACTTGCTCCCCCACACATACTCTTAAATACACCCCAGTACAAAAGTGGTATTCATGGAGCATCTCAGCATTGGGGGGGGGCATGGGCACTGTGCTTGGACAGAGAAGGAGCACCCACAAACTCCAGAACCAGAGAAGGGACTGCTACACCACCTCAGTCCTTCACCTCCCTGTCACCACAGAGAGACCTCAGGGGCTTTCTACAAGGACACAAACCCAAATCCCAGCCCTAGGGCAGAAATAAAGTTCATTGAACCAGCTTTAAAGTGCCCCATGGCTATTTTTCAGCACAGGGACATTGATACGTGTGACACTGGAGTCTGCTGGAGCGCAGTAAGTACCACACTCCAGACACAATTGATTGAGTCTGCTCCAATGTGTTGTAATTATAGTGTGTGGGAGCAGCCTCCCCGCACGTGTACAGGAGCCCATGATGATTCAACCCATTGATGCTCACTTTCAGCACAGAAGCCATATTGCTGTGGAGTGGGGTTCAGTCCCCTAGGACAGGGCTGAGACCTCCTGATCAGTGCCCAGGACAGGGCATTCAGTCTTCAATTCTCAGGGAAAGCGTGGGAAGCTCTCCCAAAGCCCACCTCCCCCACCTGTGCTAAACAGTCTGCACCCCCAACCCACCCCTGGCTGCTCTTTGGCTCTGCCCCAAGCGTGCTGCTCCCTTACCTGCTCTGGGAGATGCTGCTCCCGCTGGGTGACAGGTGCAGTGACAAGAGGCCTGTGGCCACTAGAGAGGACCTTGCAGAAGCCAGGGCTGAGCGGGGGCTAGAAACCTGCTGGAGGAATGTGCAGGCCCGAACAATAGCCGCATGCATCCTAGCAACCAAAGCATAGCAACCAGCAAGGGAAACAGGACAGCTTCCTGCAGAAGTGGGGGAGGCCCTGGCCTGAGGGAGGATCTTACAGCACTGTACAAGCCCTTGGCGAGGGCTGGAGTCGCAAGGATCCCCAGCCTTGTATGCAGCCTGGACAGGGCCCATGGTCACACATCTGCTGCCATCGTTTCCCATGCACTTGAGGAGCAGTGACAAGGAGAGGGGCTAGTGGGGCCCAGACCACAGCAAGAGGGAGAGTACGTTAGACAGGCCAAGCGAGGGAGGGAGGATGAGCAGCTCAAGGAAACATGGCCAAGAGAGCACACTGTGGCTGCCAGTCTGTGCTATCTCCCAGCAAGCTGGGGCAGGTTTAAACTACCTCTTTCAGTATTTGGGAGGGCAGCGACACCCAGCGGTTAGTCCTGGACAGAACAGTTGACTGGTAATAATCCTTTGACTCTTGTCCAGTGGTGGCCATACAGACCAAATGAGTGGTGCAGGGCCAGTCCACAGGCTGAACTGGGCCCCACACACCAGGATCAAGCCCTGTGCTGTCTCTGCCCAGCTCTGCATGGCTGGATTGAGCGCTACGCAACCTCAGTGGGCTCTTGTACACTCCGACTGGGCCCCACGCCACCCCTGCCTGGCTCTGGGATGTGAGCAGGCCTCATGTGCCAGGATGAGGCCCCGGCACTCCACACCACCCCCTGCATACCAGGATTGGTCTCCATGCTGACCCTGTGCACTGGAATCAGGCCCCAGACCCCACTGTGTGCTTGATCTAGCATGCACGGCCATGCTATTTGCCTTGCAAGGCGTTCTACAAGTTCAGAAATATGGCAGCAGGGAAGTGGCAATTACTACTGCCGCCACCCCCTGCTGCCAAATATTTGGTCCTGTGGGGAGCCCCAAATGACACAGATCTGGAAGCCAAGCACCTGCTCTAGTCATGCTTTCCAGGGCCAGCAGATCTTCATGTTTGGGGGGCAGGGGGTAGATCATGGACTGTCTCCCGTGAAGAGTAAGGAATTAGGGAGACACAGGGAGCCCTTTTCCCCCTGCCATTCCAGCTAGAGGTCTCTGCTTCCACCACCCTGCAAGGAAGATACTCAGACCCAGCAATCCAGAGCCATGGCATAGCCCTTCTACCTGTGGGCACTAAGGCCCTGGAAAGAGAAGGCCAACCCCTACTCTAGGGCTCCCATTTACATTCTTCCTGTGAGAAAAGAGGATAGGGGAAGGGAAAAACAGTGAGAGCAGTGAGAAAGGCAAGGCCTAGCCATCAAGATAGAGGGAGGGTGGGAGAGTCAGCCAGGTCTGGTGTCTCTTGGGGGAGAGGATCCCATATGGTATGGGGCATGGGGTAACTTGTCAGTCCTGGATGGTCAGGTACCATTGGCCTGACAATCAGAAAAACTGCAAAGCAGAGAAATTGTCAAGATATTAAGCCCATCACCCTCCTCATCCAACTTGTCCCTGTCAGCAGAGATGCAATCTGATCTCTAGGGTGAGGGACAGACATCAACCAGTTTAAGTGATCAGAAATTGGTTTAAACCTGTAACAGATGTTCAGTGCACATAAACCAGTTTGAAAATGGCTGAAACTGTTTTGAGATAAACCTGGTTGAATGTAGTATCAGACTTAACTGATTTGGGTCAAACTGGTTTATGCAATGTCAGTCCCAGACCCCTTCCTGGTTTAAGTTAAATCAGAGTCCCCCATCATCTTGGCATGCTGTCTGGGCTGGATGGGGCTCTCTGCTCCAGAGAGCTGGCCTGGCCCCTCCCCTCTGCTCCCTGGCTGCAGCTCCAGCAAGGAGTGCAGGTACAGCAGGGTCTGCTTAGCTTCCTCCTGCTCCCCCCTCCCTGCTCAAGCAGGGATTCTCCTCTCCTGTCTGCCATACACAGACACCTCATTAGTTAGCATACCACATGCTGGCTATGGTCCTGTTGTGGGAGACAGGACAAAGGCAAACAGCACAGTGTTGCCTTCCGGCTTTTGGGAGCTAATTAACTGGTCAGCTGGTAATGTCTCTCCATTCCTTCCTTGGAAAAAGTTGTTTAAGAAGAGCTTAAACTAATGAAAGAAGCTTTTGTTTTCTTAATGGGCTGATAAACACTGAGTTGGGGGGGATAAACACTGTGTTATATCTCAACTCCCTGCTGTGCGGCTGGGGTGCGGAAGGACCCCTCCCTAATGAGAGCTCCTGCTCAGACCTGACCATGCCTCCCCCCTCAGCTCAGCACTCTAAATGGGGAAGGCTGCTCTGGCACCCCTCAGCTTCTAGCCTGAGCCACTGCAGGTATGTGCCAGCATTTCTTGAATGAAAAGGGAATGTCTATCCACCTCCAAATCAGTTCAAGCTCTGCAGGTAGACTAACCTACAAAGATTGAATCAGTTCAGGATCAGGCTTTTTGAATGTCTGTCCCTAGTCTAGCAGGAGTGGAGACCACAAAACCCACTCAATTGAAAGATGGGTCTTTGGGGAAGGAACTGCCTTCCTGTTCTGTGTTCATACAGCAAAAAATTCAATGGGATTCTGTGCCTTGACACACTGAAGCAGCCTAGAAATCCCCTGTTAGGCAATTTGCAGCTGGTATATTAAAAACATAATGTATTTGTTCAAGTTGCACAGCACAGGGGGTGGGATGGATCACTAACATCAGGTTGCTGTTTCCTGCATGAATTAAATATTTTAAAAGAGTTGGAGGAAGACCAATAGGTGGTAAATACTCTTGCTGGTACAGCTTGGTCCCTTCTGACTTGTGATGATGAGACTGATCGAAAGAGCAGCTAGAGCCACAGCACACATTAAACTACACAGATTTTTGAGAGCCACCAGTGAGAAATGTGGTATGGTTGAAATGCTCAGGGATTCAGGATGAATTTCAATGAATGCCATGGGGCTACTCTTAAGTAGCTCTAAGAGGGAAACATCATGCCTGAGGCTGATACTGTTGGGAAGTCCTTAAGGAAATGTAGCAAGACCTTCAAAGCAGGGACTTTCAACACAGAGGAACCTAGAGAAAAAGGCAGTGGCTGTTTGCAAAGTGGCAGAACGGAATAATTAAGTAGCATAAATTAATCTGCCTGCTGAGATGCAAATAGGCAGGCAGGGCTGAACGGGGCAGGGAACGACAGAATTAATCATGAAAAACTGCAAGGTTGAACAGCCTCAGGCCAGGAATAGTACAAAGTCAGGAGCCTTTGTGAGTAGTATGTGAAAGGGCAGACCCAGCTGCCTCAGCAACCTGACATGCAGTCAGCAGATGCCTGCAGTCATCACACCCACCGGGTTCCCCACGCAGGACTGGCATGGCAGGGCTCTCCTACCGTAAGAGGCCTCCAAGCATTGGCAGTGGCTGGGGTTCAGTAAGCAGGCTTCATCTTTCCTTGTCACTGCTGCAAAGGCCACTAGAGGGTGCTCTATTGCTAGCTGAGCTATCCTTAGAACACGTCAAGGCCCACCTGGTGGTGAATGATCCCGTGGCATTCGCTGGAAAAGCAGAGCCATGAATCTTGCTGTCACAGGCAAGTTCCCGTCTCCATTAATCACAGCCTGCTAATATTCTCTCTGGTGTTTCAATTAGACCTGGCACACAGCTACTGTTAAATAGCAATGCCCCATCCCGGAGGTGACTGTATTTAGTTATGGGTGAATTAAAGCAGTACTGTTAATTGAACAGTACACTTCAGGATCTTCTTTTTCCTGAGCTGTTCTTGATGAAGGCGGCAAGTCTGGTGCATGGTGCATTAGACAGCTGGAGCACTTGCTCCATAGGAACAATGGAATCAAAGGATTCACACTGGAGCAGAGAAGGGAATTGTGTTCACTTAGACCAGAAGCATCAAACACATGGTCTGCAGGCAAGTTGTTTCATCTAGCTCATCAGGCTACCAGAAATTGGTGGGGTATGGCCTGCCATAGAATCTAGGGCCCCTGTACGCTGGTGGACATGGCCATGGGTAGCAGGGGGATGAGCGATGCTCGTGCCAATGCAGCCTCACATGGCCCACTGCTGGTTGCCCTATAACCACTGTCTGGGCCATCCCCATTGCCAGTCCCTGCTTCTATCTGCACACTGTCCTGGGCAATTAAGCTCGGGGCATGGGGTGAATTTAACGCCTCTGTCTTAGACCCACCCATGAGGGTATTTCCAGTAGGCAAAGACAACATGCCAAACTGGAGTCTACCCAGCATAAAACAGTCAACCACCTCACACAGCAACGTGCCATGCGTTTGATAATGAGTATTCAGAGGCACCATTTGACATTTCGTCTGACAAAGTATTCCCCCTTGCACCCTGGTACCATGCTGGTGCAGTGCTAGCAGACAGAATGCCCCCTTCAAAGTCAAACTTCTCCTCTTCTGGTACTTCACAGACTCTTTATTATCGCATTGCAATTGAAAGCCTTTCCTAATATGACTCAGCATTTTACCTCTACCCACAGCCCTCTGCATGATGCCCTTTGGACTATTTGTTGGCAGACTGGTGGGAAACACAGTTGTTGGGGGTAGCTTCTCTCCTTCCTACTTTCAAACCTCCCAGTCAGAGGATGCCAAAATACAGGGGCAAGGATCCTACAGTGGAAGGATGCACAAGGAATGGTGAAAATGCTGCAGCCATGAGTGAGGTTCCCAGACACACCAGGAGGCATTCTGCAATGGGTCAGAACATGGTCATACCAATGTTCGTGCGACTGTTGCCTCAAGGGGTGGTATACACCATTCAGATGCATGCAACCATTGCTGGGTTGGACTGCAGCACTACACCATGATGGAACCAACCCATTCATAAATTCCAGTGTCAAGAAAAGTGTTTGACTCTTTATTCAGTGGGGCGCAACCACTGAGTGGAGGATTTCATGTTGAGGGAGATCAGCAGTGCAGATTTCCAAAGAAGTCCAGAGCCTTAGCCTCTACTCCCACGGCTGAAAAGATGGTCCTGGAGACAACAGGGTGCCTTCACTTGGGTGGCTCGAAGAGGTACTCCAGGTCTGGCTGTCGCAGCCTCTGCTCTCTGTTCTTGTTCTTGGTGAATTCTTTCAGCATCGCCATCACTTCATTCTGAAACACCTCTGGGGTAGGCTTTGCTTCTGCAAGGAGAATGTCCTTAGGCTCACATCTTTGCCCCTGCATTGTGCTAAGCCCTGATCCACCCCAGAGATGACACAGCCCTGATTTTACTGCCTTTCTAAAACCTAGTTCACTAAATGCTGTGGGACCCACTAGGACAAAGCAGATATCTGCTCCTCCTAACCCCAGCTCAGCTCTTGGTTACAGGAGGGTGCAGGCCCCCACAGCCCACATGAAAGGGACCAGCTGGCAATTAGCATAAGCCTGGAAGTGTGAGGGTTGGGAGCCCCTGCCATTCTTTCAGTGTGACAGTCGCTGCCATGGCTATTCCAGTCCATGAGCTCAGTGGAGCTCATGCATGTCCGTTACCACAGAGGGCTTCCTGCTCTATGTCACCATGGGAGATGGAGCCTCCATCTAGATGGTGCTAGGCTGCAGCTGTACCTGTCGCCCAGTAGTAAATATCCCAGTCATTGCTGGGCTCGTTGATTAGACGGTCATAGAGGTTCAGCTGTTGCTCAGTCATGCGGTGCAGATTCTCCTTTGCAAAGAGGCTATGACCAAGAGAGAGAGAGGAGCTGAGAATTATTAGGAACAGAAAAAGTTCCAGACCAGATCAGACCTGGTGACCCTCTAGCATACTGGCTGTGCAAACAGCAGCCACCACATGATGCAAAAATAGACAAAAGAAACCCTGGAGTAGGGAGGTATGAGAGTACCCACCCCACAACTCATTAGGTCTCTCTACTAGTTGTAGATTAGCTAAAAATCTGAAGCATGAGATTTACTGTCTCTGTCCAGATTCTTCAGTCATCCACTCAGGTAACTGTGGACCTGCTTGGTACACACATTAACACCTGATACCTCCTGGCATCTAGCTATGTTCTTAGCATTTACAACTTCCTGTTACAGTGAGTTCCACCAGCTCATTATACACTGGGTGGAAACACCTACAGCTCCTTGATTTGGGTGTGAATTTGCTTTCAGCTTCATTTCATGCACTTTTGCTATAGGGGGCAGAGAGCAGTGAGGTACCCTGTTGCACTTCTCTTGGCCACTTATTTCATTGACTTTCTCTGGATTTTACAGCTCATTTCAAAGCTTGGGTGACGGTTGAGTCATTCTTGTTTTCCCTCTAAGTCTTGTTACCTCACTCTTACTGGCACTGAACTTCCCCTGCTGTCAAGCTGCCCACTTGTCTCGCTCGGCCAAGTACTACTGAAGTTCCACGCAGCCCTCCCTAGTTTGACTACCTTCCACAAGGACTCTCTGGGGTGGCAACTTTTACTGGACCAACTGCATAGTTAGCAGAAACCACAGACAACCTTTCAGGCAAAAGGTGTCTACTGTGGGGCCAGGAAAGGCCCTGTTGCCCTTTTCTTGGATGCCTGTTATTTCACTAACTCCTGTGTCCCCTTTTTTGGCCTGCTTCCTAGGAATGGGAATCTTTGCTTGTCTTCCAGAGTGGTGGTTATCAACCTTTTCAAGCTGAAGGACCCCCTTGATAGGTTCACAGACACACTCACTTACATGCACATACAGACACAGAGACGCGCATATAAACATAGGTGAGTGCACATACACACATACAGACTCTGGGGCGGGGCTTGATGCCAGCTCTTAGCTTTCGCTCAGTTTTTTGCTTACAGGAAAATAGTAGAGTGATTCTTCTGTTGCAAAGAACTCAGAAGAATCAAAACAGGTCAGAGTGTTTTTAACACCATGGATTCCTATTTGAAATCTCTGGGCTTACTGGGTGAATCATGTTTGCACACCTAACAGTGCTAACACTAACATAGCACCCTGGTTTGAGAATCACTGTTCAAGAGTTTCTTCCTCCCCCAACCCTTCTCACTGCTCTGCTCTAGAGGAAGGCCACTTTGTGCCTGAAGGCTTACCTAGGACATATAGAGGGGCTGATAAAATGCATCACCCTGAAAACCTTTCACATACTTCCTCACTCTTCGGAGCTACATCATCAACCCTCCAACCTGGCATAAATTCAGTAACTCACTACTGCTGGGTGGTTTCAGTCCCTCCAGCTCCAGAATAAACCCATCAGAGTCTGAGACCTGGGGTCCTTGGGTTCCTGGCACACTGGGCGGAGGGGGTGCCCAGGGGAGACCAAACCCAACACCAGAGTCTGTGTGTATGTGTGCACCTCTGTCTCTGCGCATGTCTGTCTGCCTGTGAGCAACTGTGTGTACGTGCATGTCTCTGCATCTCTGTTTAAGTGCATGTCTGTGTGAGCTCCTGTATCCAGAGCCATCCTCAGGGGTGTGTGGGGCCTGGGGCATATCAGCCCGTGCGGGGCTGGGGGGGTGGCGGCAAGTGACTGGAGCACGGAGCCAGGGGCATGTGGTAGCTGTGGTGGAGCTGGCGGCATGTGGCAGCCACAGCAGGACCTGTACAGCACTGTCCGTGGGGGCCATGGCAGTTGCCCCAATTCGCGCCCCCAGGGACAGCCCTGTCTGCATCTGCACATCTGTGTGCATGTCTGCGTCTCTGTGTGCATCTGTCTGTGGGCATGTGTTTTTATGCGTGTGTATATGTGCACATCTGTGTGCATCTGTGTGTGCTTCTGTGTCTGCACACCTGTGTGTGTATCCATCTGTCTGTGCACGCATCTGTCTGTCTGCGTGTCTCTGTATCTGTGCATGAATATGTGCACATGCACATCAGCACATTTGCATCTGTTCATGCACTTCTGCATCTGCACACATGCCTGTGTTGGTCTCTGAGTGTGTGTGTAGGCACATCTCTGTCTGCGTGTCCTCTGTGGGCTTCTGTGCCTGCACATCCATGTGCATGTCTGTCTGTGAGGGTCTGCCTGTTGGTGCATGTGCACATTTCTGTCTGCTTCTGCATCTACATACATATCTCCATGCATGCCCATGTCCCTGAGCGCGCGGTCGTGTCTCTACCCATGCCTGCTTGTGCATGGCTGTGCCTGTGTGCACACACACATCTCTCTCTGCGTGCCTGTGAGCCTGCCTGCACGTGCTTGTGTCCGCATGCAGGAGTGCATCTGTCTGTGCGCCAGTACGCGTGCACGTACATCCCTGCACATCTCCGGGGGCGCCTGTGCATACTTCTGTCTGCGCGTGTGCCTGCGGGGGGGGTAGGGGGGGGAAGAGGTGCACCCGGCTGTGTGCG